AGTCACACAGCCAGGATGTGCCTTCCAAGTCAGTGTTGAGCAGAGGCTGAGAAGGCTGGGTATGTGGGGCCAAGGGCCTACAGGAAGGGACTGGGCAGGGTGCTCCTCAGCTCCCACTCTCCAGCCCCTGTAAGCAGTATCTGGACTACCATTCTCCTGAGCACTCTGCTTGGCCCATGGTCTCTGCCATCCCTGCTCATTTTCCCCTCTTTGTGTCTGTTCCTGTCACTCTCCACTTCTGTGGACCCGAGATCCTTCAAGCGCCAGCCCAGTGAATGATGTGACCAAAGCCACCTCATTGACCTCATTGGCCTCGGCTGCTGGTGCTCACAGCTTGCACTGATAGCTTGGCCAACCCTTGCTGCCTGGGCAGTGCTCTGCCATTATCTTGGGCAGCTAATGTATTTTATGGGGCAATGGCTTATCTTCCTGTTAGATGATAAACCTTTGAGAGCAGGATCTGGGCCTGGTGCCCAGGAACGCTCCACAGGCTGGATTTGTGGGTCCCAGGAGAAGGACCAGCAGTGCTGTCCCTGGAGAACTGGCTTCCGCAGATGTGGGCCTGGGCACTTGCGGCTCTTGCCCCATTCGTCATCTGCAGGCACTGACAAATGGGCCTCCCCGTTGTCACTGTAGCAGCTCCCCCCACCTTGTTATTCAGAGCACACACTCTCCCAGGTTACTTAAGGGTTCTCATTTACGCCTGGATACAAAGCATCTTCCACCCAGGGCTGCTTGGGAGAAATTTATAGGCAAGGGAGCAGGGCAGCAGGGACATATGGGAGGCTGGTTGACTGGGACATGGGCAAATTCAACCCCCTCTACCCTTCAGGAACCCCCTTGCTGCCAGGGAAGGTTCCCCAGTGCCTGATTAGGGTGTGCCACACATACCCCCACCTTGCGGGAGAGAAGGAGGGAGCTGGGCTGGCTAGGCCCAATGCTGTGCTTCTGCTGCACGTGTGAATCCAGATTTATGGAAAGAGCAGGTGGCAGCGGTAGCAGGAGATGGTGACGCTCCTGCCTGTCTTTCTGTCTGCTGTCCTCTCATGGGAAAAACTATTCATTTCTAGACGTTTGAGTTTGATTCTTCCTAAAATCTACCTGTTCTTTTCTCACACTGTCCTTTTAGGTATTAATTATTTCATGTGTTCAAAGTCTCTGATGATTCTGTTATCAGAAGCCCTCAGGGATCTCAGCCTGCTATTCGTTGTAGCTGTAAACTCCACGTGGCATGTCTTGTGTCAGTGCGCTGTGTGGATATGCTGAGTGCATAGGTGTGTCGTGCTGTATGGCTAGTTTGTGCACGCGCGTACGTGTGTGGTACGTTGCTGTGGGTACCCGTGTGGTCTGAGTGTATATAAGCGGATCCTAGTTGTCCCAAGTCAAGTGTGTGGCCGTCTGGTTTGACTTGTTTCAGCTCCTGCCAGGGACTCTAGATATTCACAGTCAGGGACCAAGTTTTTTGTGACTTTCCCAGGTTGGGTATTTTCTAGACCATCCAGGTCATTCACATTTGAACCAGAAACCCATAGGGGACAGACCTCGCTTATGAATTCAAGGACAAATGTTTGACATTCACACTCCTGGCTACCTGCTGCGTGCCATTGAATTTTTTCCAAGGCCCCCCTTTCTCTGAGAGTGCATCCGAACGCCAGTCCCAGTTTTATGGTAGGGGTGGAGATCTCAGTGCAGTTCCCTGCCTCTCACATGCCCAAGGCTTTGTCACTGTCCCCACATTGCATTTGGAGCCAAGGCTTCTAGGACTCCAAGACTGACCTCTGCCTTCTCCCTTCCTTTCTCATGAGCGCTGTTCTTCTTGCTGTGTGTTCTGCAGCCCCTCTGTGTGCAGAGGTGGGAGGGTTTCTGGGCTACTGCTGTGCCATCTGCTCATGTGCTCTGGTTCCAGAGCGGGCAGCTGGTAGACCACAGCAAAATGCAGCCATGGACTTGCATCAGTGAGCATGTTTTCACTTGTATCAGTGCGTGCGTGCACATATGTAGGGATATGTGTCTTGTGCATGAATGTGTGCATTTGTGCATGTGTCTGTTGGAGTCTGCTTGTGTGTGCACATGCGTGTCTGTGTGTGCACCTGTGTCTGTGTACACTCGTGTTGTGCCATATGTTTCCTGAAGGTATAGAGAGGTCTTTATTCAGTGTCCTCTGTGGCCATCACTGTGTGAGCCAGCAGTGGGAAGTCACATCAGTCTGTTCTTGGGGTCCCTGCTTGCTGAGCTCAGATAGAGCTTCATATTGCCTCCACATCAGGATTGTAGTCCCAGCTAGGAACACCCACTTCTTAGTCCTCAGCCCTTAAAGATCAGATGTGTCACACTTCTCTCCATAGGCTCCTGAGCCGCGGTACTCGCCCCAGGACCGAGGTACCTTTTTATGCACCCCATCCCAGGCCCAAAGTCTACAGAAAATGTGGCGCACGTCACCTACCTATTCTTAGCCCCAAAGAGCCAGTATGTTTTCATGTCCAGAAAGAAAAAATCATTTAAGCCAGCTATAATGGCTCATGCCTGTAATTCCAGCACTTAAGAGGCTGAGGTAGGAGGACAGTCTCAAGTGAGTTCAAGGTCAGCCTGAACTAGACAGCAAGATCCTGTATCAAAAAACAGAGACAAAAACAAAAATGTTTAAAACATAATTTAACGTGTTCTGCTAGCTTGAACCACCGGTGGTGAATGCATGACTGTCCCATCGGGCAGCTTGGACCACTGGTAGTACAAATGGATCTGATCATTTTTATCCATCTTGTTACTAATAAAAAGCCACCCAGTTGGGACACTCATGCATGTCTCAGCAGGGTGGTTCAAGCTTTCCAGCAGTGAGACATATGAATTACAGCCCCATTGTGAACCTGTTAAATTAAAACTAGGTGCTGAAGTCCAGCGTGAAGAACATCTCCTCCACGCCAGAGTGAGCATTCAGCCTGTGGTGTCTCCTCCCAGCTCCTCCAAGGGATGTGGGGACGTGTCAGTATGGCTGGCAGAAATGCCCCAACTGGGCTGTAGTTTGCAGGCCAAAACTGGATCAGCCTTCCCTTGGTTGGGCTTCTGTATGCCATACCTTGCACTTGAAATTGCTTTTTTGCTTTCCCAGAAGCCAGGGAGACAAGGAAGGTCTAAGGAGTCTGTAGTGGGGAACCTTGTGCAGGAGAGGACAACCACGTACCCCAGTCTCTGTTGTAGAATACGCTAGTTCACCCGCCCAGGCCAACAACAAGGCTGTCCCTCCATCTATCCTTTCTGAAGCCAGCCAATCCTAGGATAGCCTGTGGTCATCTGCAAGTCACCTGCCCTAGCTGAGGCCCATTGTCTCCATTCCCTTGAGCTTGTCCATGTGGCCCCTGAAGTTAACTTCTGTTGGGGTCGGGTTGTGTCTCCCACAGTGGACAGAGCACTGAGCTCTGTGTAGCCTTTGTATATAAAGAGGGGGCCGATTCTGAGGCTGCTTGTGGCAGGATCACTGGCTGCAGCAGGCCCTGGCCTCTGCTGTTGTGACTTGGCCCTCTTGGAACTGAGGCAGAAACTAAGAGCAACTACCTGAGTGCTCTCCCTTGACTACGGGGCCATCTGAAAAGGGAATCGGGCCTCACTGCACCTCCCCAGCAGCCTCTGATATGCTTCATGTTGAGAAAGCATTGCACTCACAGTTACCCAATTATCCTGTAAGGTTTGTAAGGCAAGTCTGAAAGCCGACTGAATCTCGCAGAACCATTTCTGCATAACAACTACTTAATACCCAATCATAACAATTATGCATAATTTGTGTTTACTGTGCCTGGAAGATTAAACTCCTCCACACAGACATTCTCTAAAACAGGCCTAGAACGTGCAAGGCAAGCGGGGCTGCCACTTGGCGTGCCTACAGGCAACCTTCAGTGCTCTGCAGACAGCCTCCCTGGTGCTGGAGGGGCAGAGCAGGGACTGCCAGGGCCTGCTTCTCAGCCAGAGCCCCTCGAGGGCCAGGCCCAGCTGAGGCCTGGCAGGGAAGCCATTGCCTAGACCTTGGAGAAGGAGGGAGAGCAGCTGGCTGCCGTTGCCCCTCATCAGCTGGTTTCTGCAGAGGCGGAGCAGCTAGTGTGCCCTAAAGACCAGGGCAGAACCTGGGGAGCAGCTCAGTCCCTGAGAGCTCAGGGTCTCATGCAGAGATGAGGCCCTGAGGTCCTGGGGCATGCATGGAAGGGCCCTGGATCATGCAGCTGCCTTCAGAATCAGCATGGCTCCTGGAGCCATCTCCACAATCCACCCCTAGGGGACCCAGAGACATCTCCCTGCCCCCATGGGCTCTCGCCCCCACTGCCGAGTCTTGCCGAGGCTGGGCCATTGTCCTCTGCAAGCTCATCGCTCTTCTGGGCTTGCAGGGCTCTCCTGGAGGCCTGCTCTGGTACTGCTCTGGGCCTAAGGCCAAGGTTCTGTCTTTCCCTCCAGACTTTGCTGCTGGGTCCTGCTCAGGTGGGGAGTGGAATGACTGCTTCCCCAGGTAGCAAGAAGCAGGGCCTACTGCCCAGACCTGCAGGGATCCTGCCCTCAAAGCTGCCTACCCCACAGGACAGCACTTGTGCCAGAAAGGATCATGGTTTTCCTTATCCATGTGTCCAGTGCCTCCTGGTGTCGCAGGTGGTGGCCACTTGACCCAGAGTCACCGGGAGACCCTTCCAGCTCTACAGAAACATGTGACCCCTACCCCAGCCTGTATCACATGGCCAGCGCTCCAGCAGTCTGTCTGTCCTCCTAATGAGTGATGGGACAGCCGGACTAGTGAACTCCCCCAGCTGGGGGCTGAGCCCTGCGGTGTCCCTATTTTCCTCCGTTGTACACACTGACCTCTGTGCTTCTGTGGCCCGTGGCTGACCTGGACTTACAGACTCATACAGAGCACTTGGGCCATCTTGGGGACACCGCAGAACAGGGTCTGGACTGAGGCTCTGCACTTAGGGCTGGGGCCCTACGTGCTCCAGTGACCTCACCTTCATGTCACTCTCTCCTTGCAGCCTGTTCCAGCACTATTGCTACTCTCGGGGCGGCATGCGCCATAATTCCTACACCTGCATCTGCTGCAGGTAGGTGCATCGTGGATCTCACAGGAGGGGGACGGAGGAGGTGGAAGGGCTCCCCCTTTCCCTGGTCACGGGCACTTGCTCACACACACCCACACCAGCGCCTGCCACCGAGCCTGGAAGTCAGACTCACTTCTGAAGCCCTGGGACCGAGGGGGCCTCTGCTCACCAAGCCCGATGCCAGGTGGAGGAGGCAGCGCAGCCTGCCCACTGCAAGAGGCCTGACTGCAGTCCCATCCCCAGCTGGTGGACATTGGAGCCGAGTGTGAGGGGGCCATAGGAGCACACACAGCGCTGGGCCAGGCTGGGAGCTGAGGCCGGGCAATGTCCGTGTGCAGCAGGTGTGAAGTGTGTCAGTGAGGGGCTGCAGTTGTGTGTCCTCGTGGGTGTGTGTGGAGCCTTCCCGTGTGGCGCACAGGGACCATCTTCCTGGTGGCGGAGTGGGCTTAGTCCTGTAGTGTGTACATCGCCATAGGTGTTCACTCTGTGGCTGAGGGGCTCAGTGTATGTCACCTGCGCGTGGCTGGGGTGCTTGGAGGAGCTGCGGGCACCGCTGCAGTCTCCAGGGGAAGGCACAGTTGAGTGGGTGTCTGGGTGTGACGGCACGGGCATGTGGCCCCTCGTCTCTGAGGCTCACCCCATCTCATCTCCCCAGCTCTTCCCTGCTCGGCCAGGATGGAACTGGACGGCTGGGTTGATGTGCACGGCCTCGCACATGAATAATACATGGGAACATCTCGGTCCTTGGAAACGCTCTTCTCTGGGGCAGAGAAAGAAAAATCATTATTTCTTCTTTTATGATTCCTGAGGCTCCTAAATGGGGCCATAAATATTACACCTAGGTGGGGTGTTGTTTTCCCCTCTTTGGACAGACTTAAAAGTCCTTTTTTTCTTAAAGGCGTCACTCATTAGGGAAGCTCTCTGTAGCAGAGAAGCAAAGAGCTGTTGGCTTCCTGTCTCCATCACCTTAGCCAGGGGCCTTCCCACAGAACGCCTCTGCCTTTTACCACCGGGAAGGGAGGGTCTCCCATGCCCTTCCCCGGGCCCATGAGCTGCTGCTCCCCTTTTCTGTTCTTTACATGTGCTGCCCACATTCTCACCCTCAGAGGGCAGCTGCCTGAGCTGTACTCGGCCATGAAGCCCTGCAGGTGGCACTTGTGTGAGCCGAGGGTCTGGCACCAGCTCTGAGCAAGGCTGTGTGACTGGTCCAGCCACACCTTTGCTTCTGTTGCCATGGGTGTGAGTTAGGGCTTCAGCCTCCCAGGGCCCTCTGGATAGGGCCAGGCCTCTGACCTCTCTCCTGGCTCTTCTCAGCGGTGAGAATGCAGCTGTACTGCACTATGGACATGCTGGGGCCCCCAACGATCAAATGATCCAGGATGGAGACATGTGGTAAGTGAGGCCAGCCCTGGCCCCAGTTCTGTGTGTGAACAGCCCACCCACCCTAGGTTGGACTCTCAGTGTCAGGGCTGAGCAGGAGCCTCAGTGTCCCTGTCCTGAGAGAGAAGGCGGCACTGAAGTCCTTAGACCTACACAGCATCCTCTCCAGCGCCAGTATGCTGCCACCTGCAAGGAAGCACTGTGGGGTTGGGGATACACAGTCCCTGTGCAAAGCACATGGGGAGGGGTCTGTGGCACCCACAGATGAGATCCCTTACTAGTGTCAGGGCTGAGCAGGAGCCTCAGTGTCCCTGTCCTGAGAGAGAAGGCGGCACTGAAGTCCTTAGACCTACACAGCATCCTCTCCAGCGCCAGTATGCTGCCACCTGCAAGGAAGCACTGTGGGGTTGGGGATACACAGTCCCTGTGCAAAGCACATGGGGAGGGGTCTGTGGCACCCACAGATGAGATCCCTTACTCAGTTACATGATAGGTTGGACTCTCAGTGTCAGGGCTGAGCAGGAGCCTCAATGTCCCTGTCCTGAGAGAGAAGGTGGCACTGAAGTCCTTAGACCTACACAGCATCCTCTCCAGTGCCAGTATCCTGCCACCTGCAAGGAAGCACTGTGGGGTTGGGGATGCACAGTCCCTGTGCAAAGCACATGGGGAGGGGTCTGTGGCACCCACAGATGAGATCCCTTACTCAGTTACATGATGCCCTTGCCATCCTCTCTGCCACCAGATATCTGCCAAGACCAGCCCATGCAGCACTGAGCTCCCAGGAGGCCCCCAGATGTTGAGGCCCAGGGCTCAGCCATAGCCCTCTTTTGACTCCTCTAACTGGCAGAAGGGGTGCCCTGTCCCTCTTGGTTCTCTGGCGCCTTTCCATTCATTGCTGTACACTTGAATGAGGCTCCTTCAGAGTTTAGCTCTTGGACAGTGTGGCCTGGGCCTAGGTGGCTCTTGGCTTCCTTCTGCTCAGCCTCTTGCACTCACTCTCCAGGCTGGAGTTCTGGTGGTGGCTGTTCTGGTCCCTGGCCTGGCCTCCCCTGGTGGGCCTCAGCCCTCCCACAGGGTCAGTGGGAGCCTGTGGCAGCCCTGCCACATCCACTGAGAGTTGTGAGTGTGCATGTACAGACCAACGATGACCAGCCACCCAGAGAGGCGGGCAGGTCAGGCCTGGGGGCCTGTAGGGCTGAGGCCCAGAGGGACCCTTGAGGTGGCCCAGCAGCCCTGCTGCTCACCAACCACCTGCCTGACCACAGGCAAGGCCTCAGCATCCATCTCCCGGCCTGCCTGGCTGCACCGACGCCACAGAACCTGTGGCCTATAGGCTGCACTAAGCCCTAGGGATTGTAGGCCAGTGCCTCGTCTGCAGAGCTGTGCAGGGCTGCCTCCAGGGCCTCATGGATAGTCAGAGCAGAGCCCAGCACCCTCCTAGAGGGCTGCAGGCCAAAGGCATATGGAGGCCCTGACAGGGCTCCCCCTGTGTGTCTCAGCCATCGCTCACCCTGACCCCACACTGCTTCACCCCAGTGTGTGGAGGAGTAACTGAGTCACAGGAGTGTGCCAGGCTCGGGCGTGGGGCCGGTGGGATGTGGGGAGAGATCTGGCTTCCTCAGACTTAGCTCAGCTGGAGACCAGGGAAGGGGAGGATGGAGCCACCACCTTGACCATGGGTGGCCCCAGGGAGACTACCTGGTCTCCTCAGGGACTCTCATCTTCTGCTCTTTGACCTAGTGGCTCATTCTGACTGGGTAAGGAGGACAGCACACAGGAGCCCAGTCCCAGGGAGGAAGCCATCTACACCAGGAGGTCCCCGCTGTCCTGGGGGTGGCCTGGCTGGCTGGAGAGCCCCACCCCAGAGCCATGTGGCCATATGTTGCTCTCTTCCTTGAGCCCAGCTCACTGCAGGGGAAGCAGCTGGCTCTTCCCTCCCGCCTCATCCACCCAAAGGGTGTCTTCAGCACTTGAGAAGCCAGAGGGCAGGGTCCAGGCCAGGACGCTCCTCGTATCAGGCTTCCTCTTGGCCTGGGTGCTGCGGCCTTGGCTCTCAGAGGTAGCACATGGCACCTGCGTCTCCCGGTGCAGCTGTAGACATCCTGGAAAGCCCACGGATGTTCATGCCAAGCTCAAATTGGTGATTTTGTTTTGCTAGTGCTAACTTTGAAATGTAGCCAGTAGAATAATTATGAGTTTATTATAGTCAATTTATTATGCAGCATTTAGAACAACATGTTTTGTTGATTACTGCTACTGCCAGATTGCCGGCGGCATTTATAATCCATTGTTTTATTGAAATTGATCTGCTGAGCGCCTACTGCGTTCGGTAAATAATAAATCACTCTGTTATCCCAACATAAAAGCCACGGTACTTCATCACAAGGTATGAAACCAGAAGGTAAATGTAGCGCAGTGTTTTCCCCAAAGCTAAATGGGCACCAGTCTCAGTGGTGGGCTCTGGGTCCGTCTTTGACATTGAGATTGAGTAAAAATGCCTGAGAGATATTTTAACATTTAGTAATGGAGAGGGGAAGAGGAATGGTGAGGGGAGGCCATCTCTGGGAGGCTGCACTGCATGATCCTGAGCTCAGAGCATCTCCAGATCAAGTCCTTGCTTCCCTGCCCCTGGCTGAGCAGCTGCCCCTCTGAGTCTTGTTGTTCCCATCCATTACTTAGCAGTATGCCACCCAGCTCGGGGAGATTCAGGGATGCTAAATGCAAAGTACCACTCATGGGGCCTGCACAGTGTGAGCCCTCGAATGGCAAGAGGTACAGCACCATTTATCCCCGCCTGAGCCAGGCAGACTGGGGCCAGTTTGTGCTCTTGGGCCCCAGGCGCACTTGCCCTCGGTAGCCTGGCTTATTCATACAGCTCTTGAGTTACATGGCCTTCTGGCTTTGTGTTTTCAGCCCCAACATCATCTTCTCGGGCACATGTGCCAGGTGGGGCTTGAGGCCCTACCGCTCCACTCCCACCTCTTTGCCCTCAGAGTAGCAGGTGCTTCCCTGGAGCCCAGCCAGAGGCCACTGTCAGCCTCTCTGGGCCACAGTCCTCACCCACCAGGGCCTGTAAATCGGACACACGGGATCATACCACAGGTCAAGCTTGTCAGCCAGAAATGGAGAAACGCATTCAAAGGTCACTTCTTACCCCAGGCCAGTGGCACCTGAGCCTCTACCAGTTTCTCAGGGACAGGTCCCACCCCCGCTGTTCTGCAGGGATCCAGGGAAGGATCAGGAATGTGGTGTGGCTTCTAACTCTTGGGGGTCTTCCCTTGGCTTGGTCCAGAGCCGTGAGACCTCGTGTAGCTGGGAAGCCTCTGGGGTTTTTCTGTGGCTCCCAGAACCCTTTCTGGCTGTGTCCCTGGGGTTCCCCATGAACCCCACCAGCAGGTCACTGTCCCAGAGAGCCATTAGTTGCTTTTGTTTTCCTTTTTAAAGCAAGCAAGCAAGCTTCTAAAACAGGGTTATAAAAATGCGCTAATAAATGCTTTCCACATGTTCACACAAAGAATGGTATCTAACAAGGTCACCAGAGGCCCTTCTAAGTAGGAGGCCCTGCTGCATCCTGTCCTGAGCAAGTGGGTGTGAGCACACGGTGGCTTGGACTTCCGCTCGGTCATCTCACAAACCCGTGTGCTCTGCCCTGTCCTCCTATATAGCCAGCTTGGGCTGTGAACACCAGATCCCCCAGGCAAATGGAGGCTCTAAGGGCCAGCAAACAGCGCCTGGGTCACTCTTGTGCAGGACTCCAGATCTGAGTTTGCAGCTTCTCATCTCTGCTGATCTTTAGATGGGCTCAGCCCACAGGGCAGAAGTGGTAGAGGTCCAAGATGTACCTGCAGTGGGCTCTAATATGGAAAGCAGCTGGGGTATTCATCCTCACCTGCCATCTCCTGCCTTTCCCACCATCAGATCAGATAGCAGGATTGAGAGCTGTGGCCTCCTTTTGAGCCTTCTAGAACACAAGTCCAAGATGTGCAGGCCAGTATTGTCTACAGTAGGCAGGAAGGATACAGTTGGTTCCTGGTGACCTCAGGCTTCCAGCATTTGGCCAGAAGAGGGCAGTGTTGTCTCAAGACCAGGACAGGACCTTTCTCTGGGTGGGTAGTGGTGGACTGTGTTGGCACTGGGTGGGTGAGGTGGACCTGCACCCCCACTGGGGAAAATAGGCCAGTGCCAGTGCCACAGTCAGTGGTTTGCTGATGTCCCTCCTCTTTCCATGCTGTGGCCTAGAGCAGCGATGGTGAACCCTTTAGAACTTTTATGATACAGCCCGCTGTGGCACACCTACCATAGGTTTGCCACCGCTGGCCTAGGGCCTCCTCTGTCTCCCTGTCTTGATGATGGCCAACCTAAAGCCCTAGCTGTCCAGCAGAGGTTTGGATAGTTCTCGTGATCACCACAACCCAACTTTTCTTCACCTAGAACAATAAGGCCTACTAGAGCAGGGCATGGTGGTACATGCTGGTAATCCCAGCACTCAGGAGGCTGAAGCAGGAGGATCACTGTGAATTGAGGCCAGCTTGGGCCACATAGTTCAAGGTCCACCTGACCTATAAAGCATGGCACTGTCTCAAAAAAACAAAAAAGGAAGGAAACTTGAAGGAAGACAGGTAGGTGGGTGATCGGGATGGATAGATAGATAGATAGATAGATAGATAGATAGATAGATAGAGAAAGCAAGGCCTACTGATTATATTTGAAGACACTGCATGAAAGTACCCTGGATTGTGACTGGCATGTGCTGCTACTCCTGCTACATGCACATAGGTCACATTCCCTGAGCTAGGGTGACACCAGAACTCTCCTCTGCAAGGCTGTCTCCATCGCAGATGTGCCAAGCCCTCACCCCTGCCTGCTAGAGGTGTCTACTCACCCAGGGCTTCAGCAATCCCCTTGGCATCACCTGGGCCCTGCAGGCTGGGACGGGGCGGTTCTGCCTTCTCCTGGTTGTCTGGCATCTGTACCTTGGGGCCCCAGAGGGGCAGTCTGTGCCTGGGTTCTTTGCCTGCTGACAAGAGCCAGGAAAGGGGGCCTCCAAGCTCTGCTTTACCTGGTACTGGTGCCTTGGTTAGCTTTAAAGGATGACTGGCACCCCAGGTCTGCTCCCTGCTGCCACACTCAACCCAGATCCCCTCCCCACCTGCTGTATCCTCAGAAGGACTCTTGCTTGTCACCAGTGACCCCCATCCCAAGTATTTCACAATGTTAAGGACAAGCCCAGTCTTCGACGTGATAGAACTCTCTGGAAGGTACAGCCCTGCCCAGCTATCTGTCCAGGCCATGGCCTCCTGGCTTCCGTCTCAGAAGCACCCTTGCCATTCTAACCAGCACGCGTGCTCCTAGATGTCCCTGGCTGTCCCCGGGCACCATCCCCACGCGCTTTCTCTCTGTTCTATTTAGTTCGTCGGTGTCTGTGGCACACCCACTCAGCTGACATCACAGCCCGCAGTCCAAGAAGCACTAGTCTAGACATTCTGGGTGCTCATGGCCATCATGAGACGCTGCCACTGAAAAAGTGAAATGAAGCATGTGCTTTGAGCGTGACACTGACTGCCTGCCTCCCTGACCCACAGGGGTCACTGCCCTGATGCCACGCCCTGGCCCACAGTGCTTTAGAGGTGGCAGCTGACTGCCCCTTCCCAGGCAGACTGCTCTGTGGTTCTCTCCCTGGGGTCTTGGTCCCACACGGGCCTTGCCATTATAACCGACTCTCTCCAGCAGCACATGGCTGCTCTTGTCAGCTTGTGCACAGTTACTGCTAGCTCTGGGCCTGGGCACAGGAAGCTGCTACTGGCCTGGGCTGCTTGCATGGAAGCCGTTGCTGTCTGCATGGTCCCTGCAGGAGCACTGTCCTGAAGACTATGAGAAGTTCACTGGGTGGGTCAGCCTGTGGCTTTGGAAAACCTCAAGGACCCCAAGGGATGATTCTTGCCCCTGCTGGCCATCCTGAGACTGGCAGAGACCAGAAGGCCTGGCTAGGAGCTGAGCGCAAGCAGCTAGCCTGTGCCAAGGAGACTAGCACTCGCTGCTGCGTCTACAGGGCCGGCCTGCCTGCTACAACAGACAGACAAACGGAAAATAACCCATGAACATTCCTTCCTATCTCCTGCTGAGGTCTGAGGAAGCAAAAGCTTCGTCCTGTCAGAAACCCCCCAGCCTGGCCTGGACACGGACTGGGGCAGCTGTGCGTAGCAGGTCTGCACTGCTCCTGCAGTGCTGAACACATGTGTGTGTAAGATGAGTCTTGGGTGGGAAGTAGCCAGGAGCTGTGCCACACTCAGGAGAGGAAAACGAAGCCACAAGCCGAGTACAAAGTGGCCTTTGTATAAACATTGCAGTCTTTCCCTCAGAGTCCTCAGAGCCTGTGGGGTGGCTGGTCCCTGCAGCGGGGCCCAGGGAGGGTCTGGGTGGGCCATAGTGGCAGGTAGCCCAGTCCTGAAGCTGCCCAAGAAGAGCCAGCGGAAGATAGAACTTCTCATCCCGGCCAGAAATGTAGCCAGAGACACATGTGAAGAATGGGACGCCAGCATATTGCTTGGAGATGTGTAATCTCTCCCCAGATGTCTCGGATTATCACACAGATTCACTCAGCCAACGATGGTAGTGTCTCTGGTGGGTGTCCCCAAGCAGCCAGGAAGGAGGGATCCTTCATTCTCAGTTGAGCCAAGTATGACCGAATTCTCCATTGTCGTTTTGTATTTGCAGGATAAAGTGGTCAGAGGAGGAAAAGGGAGATGATTTATAAAAGAGATGACTTTCATCCCTGGATTCTAGAATGGCTTGAATCTGAATCACTTATATGTGTAGAAACTCTGGGGGATTTAAAAAAAAAAAAGGCAGAAAAAGAAAAAGATAGGGAACTGAGAGCACAAAAATAGATTCCAACCCCGTGCCTGAGCATCGCAGGGTAGGATGGGGCTGTGCACTTCCCTCTCCAGAAAGTGGATGGTTTTAAACAAAAATTACAGTTGAATCCTCTGAAAGCTAGAAAATAAAGCCAGGTTGACGGAGGAAATCAAAGTACCCATCATCCCACTCACTTTCTGTTTTATGGAGGAGGATTTGGAGGACTTGGTTCAGAGTGTGGTCTGCACTAGAGTCTTGTTTTTAACTGTTCTCAGTGATTCCGGCATTTGGTGTGCTCTTGTGAGCTTCCTGGTTTTTTAAATAGTTTAATTTCTGTTTTTCTCTTAGATCAGCACAGTGCATTAGAACTCTGTGCCCCAGAGACTGCATGCAGGTCACCCTCTGATGTGGCACCTCCCAGGAATCTTTGTCCCACACACCCCTGGCCCTGTCCCATCTGCCCAGGCCATTCTTAAATGTTCTAAACTAACAAACCGCAAACCATTTCTCTTTGTTGACTCCGGGGAGCCCAAATGAAAATGTTCTGTGTTCCTGGGCAAAATAGGCCAGAGCCACATGCAGCTCCATCCCCAAAGGACATAAACCTAACCGGTGATTGTAGCAACCCTATTTTACAAGTGGGGAAACTGAGGTCCTGGTGGATAAGTGCCACAGCCAGGACCAGATAACTCATTTGTGGGCTCCGAGGTGCTTACCCCACATCCCAACTCTGAGCTTTGCTGGACCAGGGTTCAGAATCTCATTTCCCTCCAGTTGAGGGTTGAAGTGTGCCGCATACAGGAGTAACCCTACAGACAGCTGTAGGGCCCAACAGCTGTCGCATCTGTGGCCTCTGTCAGGGTGTCTGTTTATTTGCCCTGTGTGATTAGGCCAGGGTGGGTCACCCTCAAGTGAGGCCCAGGTGCCCCTGGGTCAGCTGAGACTTTGACCCAACCTTAAGTTCACTGTCATGCTAGTGGAGGCTCTGCTCTACCCCCTGAGAATCACCTGAGGTGTTACCTGTGCTTTTTGCACTGTTGACACTGTTTATGGTGTTTTACAATCAATCAGAAAAGATAGGAGATTAAAAAGTGCCCCGCTGAGGACTTTGGATTCCATCAAAGTGCCCAGGGATCATGACCATTTGAGGTTTTCCTTTAAAAATCTGCTTCTATGGGGTAGATGGGGCTGCCTGGCAGGCCATGTGGCCTGACTCCTTGCTGCATGCTCAGGGCTGGCGGTCCTCCTTGCTCTGTCCCACACAATAGGGTCCCCAAAGGCCTGTACACAGGCGGCTTCTGGAATGTTTGTGGTTACCATTAGCGCTGGATTTCGGTGAGAAGTCCTCATAAAGGAAGCTGCAGCAGGACCTGGGCTGTGATTTGCAGTGTGATTTGTGTGTGACTGCAGATGAGCCCCCATGGGAAACCCAGGATCGAGCCAGACACCAAAGAGAAGCTGGGCTCAGCCAGCACAAGGGGATATAGCTCCCACTTCTTTGGCTGTGCCTGCCACTGAAGACGTGTGCCAGGCACTGGACTGATAGCCCTTACCCAGTTTTCTCAGCAACAGTGACTTGGCCATGACCCCATGAAAGGGCAGGGTAAGCCGGTAGCCCCAGCTATGCCTGTTGTCAGCAGCTCCTGAGGTGCTGAGGTTGGAGAGCTGTGAAGGCCCTTGCATTTATCCAGGCCTGCCCTCACACACGTGGGTGACCTCATGGCACAGAGGCCCTTCTGAGCACTCTGGGGAGCCAGGCGTGGACCCAGCAGCCCTTCACATGTCTTGACTTCTTCCACCTCAGAGGGGAGGCAGGGCAGGATCCTTATCTGCCCTTGACCTGAGGGCCCCACAGCCCTCTGTGTAGGCCCTGCCGTACCAGGGCCCAGGTCATGGGATGTCCTGAGGGATGGCTCCACTGCCATCCTCCTGACTCAGCAGACCTGACATCGGTCCCACCACCGTCCTGCCCACCACTGGCTTGTGGCTTCCAACTCCTGGGCCTCTCCTGCTGTCCCCTACTGCACATCTTCCTTATGTTCCACATCCTCTGTGCCCTTCTCAGCCACCTGGAGATCAAGAGGTGCCAGGCAGGCAGGGTGAGGGGTCAGGCAGCACTCCTATCTGGCTGGCACCCCATGAAATCCCTGCTGGATAAGAGACCAGCTTCTGACACTTCCTCCCTGATTTTCCCTCAGGTGCTGGCAGAACAAGTCCACCCCTCCCCAGTGGGGAGGGGGACAGTGTCAGCCAAGGGGGCCCCTGAGTGGGAAAAGAGGTCACAGGTACCTGCCACCTGCCAGGCTCCCTCACCCCAGGCCAAGCCTGTGGGAAGCTGGTAGTACGGCTCAGCCTGTCTCCTCTAGGCAGGTGTCTGGGTCCATCCAAAGTCCCTGCCAACTTCTTCCTCCTTTCTTCCCTCATGAGCTTGCTTCAACTGCACTCGACATGGGGAAGACCTGGGGAGCTGTTGGCCCTCACATGGGGGCAAGGTGGCACACGGGGGTCCCGAGACGTATCCATCCCTCCCAGTTTTCCAAGTGAGTCTCCACAAGTGAACGTGCTGAGGCCAGGCCGTGGAGGCAGCCTGTCATCTCAGGCTGAGCCCTGGACCTCCTTTTTCCTGGGAACAGAGTTCTCCCAGGATGGCACTTAAGGTAGAGCTAGCTGCCTGCCACATTGGTCACTTCTCAGGATGAGATGCATCCAGACCAAGCCACACTGCCCTTGCATTCTGGGCAGAAGTAAGGGGGCAGTGGCACCCATGAGCATTTCACCACCTCACACCCTGTCTCCTTGCAGCTTGTTTGACATGGGTGGTGAGTATTATTGCTTCGCCTCGGACATCACCTGCTCCTTTCCTGCCAACGGCAAGTTCACTGAGGACCAAAAGGCCATCTACGAGGCGGTACTGCGGAGCTGCCGTGCTGTCATGAGTGCTATGAAGCCAGGTGAGGGAAGGGGCGGGGTGCTGCTGAAGAGGACCCACCTGGCATGGGGGAGGGGCAGCTGTGTGCCAGGCACCTGCAGGAAGCAAGTCCCACATTGTGTGATTTGCATCTGCCCCCATACGTAGCCAGTAAGATACGGGTGGTGTCCAGTCCTCACGGTCACTCCTAGGAAATAGGACTGACCACCAATCAGGAACAGGAGCCTGAATCCAGGTGCTCAGCCCAAAGTCACCTCGCGTCTCATCTGGCCACCTCTTTCTGACCACCCACCCTGGTCACTGGGATGTCAGCATGTTCCCTGTCCTATCCCCAAACAGAGTCCACTTCAGGGAGGGCCTGGCTAGCTTTGGACGCAGTCATCTGATTAGACGCTGGAGTGGGTTCCAGCCCTGCTCAGCCACTCTGTGGCCTTGGACAGGAAGCTTTTCCCTGATTGGCTGTTTCCTCGTCTGTACGTGGATCAAGCTGAGCCATAAAAAGCACCTGACTGCTGCTGGCACATGTTCATGCTCTGTAGTGATGTTTAGACTAGGGCTTCCCATTCTTTCTCGTATCAGCTGGTCTTGGCTGACATGCCCTGCCTGTCCCCCTAGACTCTGTACAGCCTCCACCTGCCCCCCTCATGTCACCAGGCAGTGTACAGAGTCCCCACTGGTCTACCCGTGATGCCCCACTGCGTGGCAGTCATGTCTCACATTTGCAGTCCTCTGGAGGGGAAACAGCATCCACCCCGCAAGGCTGACTTTCTGGCATTCTTTCCATGACCCTCATGGCCTTGATTTGTCCCTCTGTCCCTATTTCAGTTGTCACTGGCCATGCTCCTTCCTTGGGAGCTCCCAGCCTCCCATATTCCTGACAGAAGTGACATCCAGCACCTGGTATATCAACCTCAGATCTGCTCTGTGGCTCTTTTGAAGCAGGAACCTGTGAGGACCCAGGACAGACCACTCTTAACATGAAGACAGGAGCAAAAAAGTGGCTTTTAATGCCAGCGGCTCAGCAAATGTCTCCTGTCATTCTTGAGAGCCCTGAATAGAAGTTTGCGCTTCGTTGTATACCTCTGTTTATATCTACGAGTCTTAGTAATTCCACTGGAGTTTCCCTGGGGATATAACAAGCAGGATTTATACAAAGCAGAGCAGCAGAGGGAGGAGAGCAAAGAGTTCTGGCGGCACTTTCTGAGTCCGTTACATTCCTTTGGTGACAGATTACAGAAGTTGTCATGGCTACTCAGGTACATTCTACAAAGAACATAGTTACCTAGTTAACCCGTAGTTGCCTAATAACAGTTAACTCATAGTTGCTCAATTCTATATGGAGGTGTGGTCTCCTCTCTCCCTTTCTGCCCAGAACAGTTACAAAATGCTTTACCAACAGTGACAGGGGAGCCCTGACTTATCCCCTTTGCCTAGAGGAGAGAATTTAGGAATGTGGCCTTGCCATGTTCTTGCTTCAAGCCCTCTAGGGCTTCAGAACAGCCCACCCTGCAGGCCTTGGATTCCTGACCAGCAAGTGCCAGTTACGTGCTAGGCCAGGCCCTCTGGGGACAGATGATTACAGACAGGCTCCATCCTGCAGTGGGGTCAGGCTTTCCCAGCCCCTCTTCATCCTGACCTGGTGATTGGCCTGCACCTCCTCAGACACGGCCATCCACTGAGGTGCCAGCTTCTGTAGCTTTGGTTGTAAGCAACAAATGGTCTCTGGCTAGGTCAGGTCATTGGTGCTTGCACAAATCCACAGAGGTGGGACAAGGAGGTCTGGGGTGGGGCCAGAGCTAGGTGACATGGCATGCAAATTCAGGATCTGCAGCAGCAGTGGTGGTGAGCTCCTGGCTTTCTTCCTCGCCCAGCTCAAGGCAGAAAGCACCTGATGTTGGCACAGTTGGAGTTCCATCCCAAGCCCCTGCTCCCTCCAGCCTGGCTTTGCATTCTATGCAGGCTCCCAGAAAAGTGAGCCAGCCCCTAAAGCAGCCCCCAGGCTTCTCTGGGTAGGAGCAGCATACAGAATGCAGGCTGTGGACTCAAAGGGCCCCCACTGTGTGCCATGCTCCAGCCCTCAAGCCCCTCGCTCTATTCCAGGGTGGACTCGGCTGGCTCTGGACACTGGCATCTGCCTTTGTTAAGGGCCAGCAGAGAAGTGGCTGCACCCAACCCTCGCCTGTATCCCTAGGATGATAAGTAGAGGCTTTGAAGCCCTCTGGGGGCCTGGTTGTGACAGGTCTGAAGTCTTGACTTGGAGTTCCTAAACGAGGGACTGTAGTGTTCAGATTTGAATGCCTCTGTGAAACTTTGATTTAAAAAAAAAAAGAAAAAGATCCAAGTCCCAGAACTGTAGTAACCCCAGGAAGTGGCCTGTTGCAGACCTAAACTTGCTGGCTCAGCATTTGGATGAACAGTCTTCTGTGGCCCCATAGCCCGTTGTTGGGATGACTTTCAGCCACGATCGCAGGGCCAAGGGCTGTTCCGAGGGGACTCCGCACCGGTCATTTTCAGAGGAAACACACTGTGAGCAGGTCTTTCTTGATTGGCCTCCAGTGCAGTCCAAGAGCCCCAACCAGAGGCTAAGGAGCTTTGGGGGAACATTGGGGGCACCACCAGGTATGAGCCCATGGCCTACATCCTCACTTAGCCAGCAGGACAAGAGGTAGACAGACAAGTGAGCCCAGGGGTAGGGACTCAGGTCCTCCTTGAAAGGAGAACAAAGAAGGAAAACTTGAAAGAAAATGAACAGAGGGAAGAGGTTGATAGTATGGCAGGCCTGCCTGGGGTAGTGGCTGCAAGACAGGGCAGCACCTTAAAAAGCAGCGGCACCTCTGAGTGCTTCTCCAGGGCAGCTGTGGCAGGAAGGCTGATCGTGCAGAGTGGCACAGGCGGGTAAGAACCTGGATTTGCATGTGCTGGTGAAGTCGGCGAACACGGCGCCACAGAGGGATGGAGAGTTGGGAAGCACACTCACCGTGCCCCTTTTTGTTGTTTTTAATCTTTAAACTATGGCATTCAAGAAGTAGTCTCACCAGGAATGCACCTCTTCGTGTCTTTATTCCACAGATTAGCTCCCGCCCCCCTCCCGTTTTGGAGCACCATCCATTACTTGAGTGGTCGGTGTTTCCAACCGCAGAGGGTTTGGCTGGAGAAGGTAGGGCGTGGTGTCTTCATTGAGGGTCTGTAAGCGCAGATCTTCCACCGAGAAGCCAGTAGTGGTCAGCATGGGAGTGGACCCAAGCTTGCCATCAGGACACCTGATGGTCGGCCACACTCCACACTGGAGACCAGGCAGGAGGAACCAGGCCTCATAGTGAGGCTTAGACACATGGAGGCACGTTGGGGATGGAACTTATGTTCATCAGGCAGGGAAGTTTAGAAAGAATCCTCCCCCTGGGCTCTGTGTCACCGCAGAGCTCCAGGCTTGAAGTCCTTGGAGCTGCTTACCTTGCCCTTGGCTGACTGGTGATGGTCAGTCACAGGTTATAGGAAGACTGGTGGGGTCCAAGTAGGATCTGGATGGCACCTCCACAACTGGTGTACTGTCCAGCACATTGGTCCCACTAGGCAACCCTAGTTCTGTCCAGAAGGTAGCCAGGCTCACAGGCCAGTCCCTAGGGCCAGCACCCACCTGGTTACTACCTATCCTGAGGCCTGCCTAGCCATGCCAACTCTTGGAGCAGCCACAGGCCTCAGGCGCATCCAGAGGACCCTGGGGACACCAGGCTCTCAACTGAGCTGGTCCTTACAAACCACTCCTCTCCAAGTCCCTCTCGCCCATTTCTGAGTTTTTACACCCAGCACAGACATGGTGGGGCTTGAGGATCCCTTGTATAAGGAGTGCAACAGAACCCCCACCATACTACACGCGCTTTACTACCCTTGCTGCCAGATTGTGACACACTGAGGGTCCCTAAGGGCAAGGTGTGACTCCATCTGGGTCACACTTACAGGCCCAGCCTGAGGAGTTGGAGTCCTGTGCCCACAGAACTGCTTTCTAAATGGAGGCAAATCGCCTCCCCTTAGCATTGAGGCAGCTGTGGCCTAGTCAGCCCCCTGCTGTCCCAGTGGAAATGCCCGCAGTTTGTGGGTTCAACTTCTAGGCCAAGACAAACACCCTGTTGAGACGGCCTGACTGCTTCCTGTGACCTTCCAGGGAAGAATAAATAAAAACATGCAGGAAGGCACACAATGATGCCCAGAGGAGAGGCAGAAGTTAGCTATCAGAATACACATGGACCCTTGCGGATACAGCCCTGGGGAGTTGAGGAATGCAGGCCCTGGCTCCCCAGAAACATCCTGGGACCGGAGGGGAAGCATTCCACGTTGTCACTCAGACTCAGGGAGGGAAAGAGGGCTGAGCTCACCCAGACAGGAGACACTGGTGGGCATCAGTCCATAGGAAGGTGGGCACTTGGGAGAATGCCATCCATAGGCGCCCGTGGCCAGGCACTGGCTTCTGGCTGAGGGGACCCAAGTTATGTGGTTTGTGCACCCTGCCCTCCCTTTCTTTGTGGCACCAGAAAGCGCTGATGAGCCCACAACTTTGGTGAGGGGAGGAGGGAAGGCGCTGCTGCAGAAGGATGTCTGAGTGAGCCACAGCTGCAAGGCTGTCCCTGTAAGCAGTAAACCTGCTCTAGTCATGACACTCCCAGTCCCAACAGCCACCATGTGACCAGCAGGAAGGTCCTCACCTTCATCGCCTGTGAGCACCCAGTCCTTGTGCCACCAAGCCTCCGGTACCCAGTCTTCCTGGCCCTCCTAGTGCCCTCCCTCCTGCCTTGGGTGCTGCCTCTCACCTCCTGCCCTGGCTCTTGCACTCTCCTGTGAGCCCTGCCCTGGAGCTTCCTACTCATATCATGATGTGTAAAAGCAGCTGTGTCCCAGCCATGTGAATGATACATGTTACCCTGCATAGCTCTGTGGACTTTTGTGCAATGTCAGCACCGCTGGCCCTGTCCCTGGCCTGAGTCCTCACTACTTATGGGGCCAGTGCCACCACAGGAAGTCAGGAGAGTCAGTCATTGGCTGGATGTATCCTTACCCCAGAATAGGCCTGAGGGTAAGAAAGCCAGGGGGTGACCAGGAAGGGGCAGGAGGCTCAGGGCGGTGCTATACCAATATGTCTTCTGTGGACCTAGGGAGGGGCATGTTTCCTGGCTTTGCCTCCCTCCCAGATGGGCAGGAGTGAGATCAAGTGGCTGAACTTTCTTCTGGGCCTCATCCTTAGACCTGGCCAGGAATATAGGGGATTAGGCAGACAGGTACAGGGACCCTGTGTCACCTAACCACAGTACCCTCTGTGGCAAGAACTGAAACAGGAGGGACTGTTTTGGATCTGGTATCTACCCCTCCTCTTGGGTAGCAGGATGGTGGGCAAGTTCCCTGCTGGGATGTAGTGAAAACCTCACAGCTAGGCTTCCACAGCACTAAGTAGCCTGCAGCTTGAACAGACGCTGCTTCTTGCCCTTATGAAGCACAGGATGTAAGTGGGCTGGGCTCGAGGCTGTCATCCCCCACATCAGCTTGGCCTGCCAGGCAGCTCCCTGCTGCCCCCAGGGCCTGCCCTGAGACCCACGCCCTGAGCCTTTCCTTCTACACCCCCAAGGCCTGGCTCGCACAGCATCCGTCCCCTGAGGGCCATTGTCTGAGGATTAAGTGAGCTCTTTGTCTGGAAGTGGCTCTGAGGATGCTGCACGCGGGCCTTCCCAGCTTGGCTTAGGCCTGGGAGCCTCCTGGGGCTGTCACGCTCCAGGCTGGACGCCTCAAGGCTGTGATAGATGCTGCTGCTGAGGCTCTGAGAAGCCAGGCCAGGTCCTGCAGCGAGGTCAGGCATGGGAGAGAGTGCTTCCTGGGGGGACCAGGTGGACACAGACAGCCAACCAGTAACCTGGAGCGCTACTCTGGACACCTCCAGGGGCCTGGGCACGTGAGGCTCTTGTTTCTCTGAGACCAGCAGGTCCCTGAGGCAGATGGCATGACACTAACCCCTGCCCACCCTGAAATCCAAGAACATAGAGGAGCAGGCTGATGGACATACCTGCGTCCTGGGTCAGTGTCACAGCACTGACTAAGAGTCACAAGGGAGGCCAGGGCTCCTGCTCGCTCCTCAGATTTTGAACATGTGCTGTGCACTGGGAGCAGGGCACAAGTCCCACCTCTCAGAGCCCAGTGGCCAGAACCAGGGTGCTAGGCCAGGTGGAGAGGTTACAGGAAGGGGCAGTCAGAGAGGGCTTCCTGGAGCAGGTACCTCAACAAGAGGCCCAACACAAGAGCGGTGAGTGCTTGGGGAGGTGGTCAAGGTCAAGGGAACAGCAGGTAGAAAGCACAGAAGTATCTGCTCTCAGGACCATGGCCTCTGGCTGGCTGTCCTGCCAAGGAGTGGGTCAGGGATGAGGCTAGAGATGGAGGCCAATCAAGGAAACTGAGCTTTGGCCCAGGACAGTCTCACAAGCAGGATGGAGGATACAGTCAAGGGGACAAGAGTGGGCAGAGCTTCCAGAGAGGCAGGGCCCAGGTTTGAGAGATACTTCCGGGAGGGCAAGACTTGGTGCTAGCGGGAGGTGGGAGGAGGTGCCCGGCAGCCTGTGCCCAGGTTCTGTAGTGTGCTCCCCAGGGTAGCGCCCCTGGTCTGGAATGCCTCCTGGGCTGTCACTGGGCAGCCAAAACGGGAGGAGCCCAGGAGTCCAGTTTGTGCCCATCTCCCAGCCTAGCCCAAGGATGGTAACCTTCACACACTTCAGGGGCCCAGCCCTGCCTATGGGTGTCGTAACCATCATGCATGCCAGACACAGAGGCCAAGTTTCTGAAGGGTTAAATCACTGTCACAGCCCTAACCACACACAGGCAGAAACTCCCAACTCACAGCCAAGAGAGCTGTGCGCAAGGCCTTTCCCGAGGGTGCTCAGGCAAGGAAGACTGGTGGCGCCGCGGGGACTGCCTGGGCCACACATGTGAGCTGGGCTGCCACCTCAGTGCATGATTTATACCTGATTCCCACCCTCCACTGAAGTCCGGCCAAGCCTGCAGCGCTGCTCATTATGTACATTAGGTCTCACTGTGTACAGTAGTTCAAGCTGGCCTTGGACTCACTGTGTAGCCCAGGCTGGCCTAAAACTCACAGTGATCCTCCTGCCTCAGCTTTCCAAATGCTGGGATTACAGGTGTGCACCACCACACCTGACTGAAGCATGACTTTTGAAATTAGCTGGGTTGGAAAGCAGGCTACACTTCCTGGGGCTCCTCACTGCTCACTGGAGCAGGGGCCCATCAAAGAGATGAGTTGAGCTGAGTCAGGGGTGTCAGCCACCACCCAAGAGGCCCCTCAGCCTGTGCACCAGCCTCACCAGGACCCTTGTCTGGTGCTCAGGCTAAGTGCAGAGGTGGGACTGGAGCTCCCTTGAGGATGCTGAAGAGGGCTCCCCAGAGCCCTGGGCAGGCAGGGCTGAGGTTCTCTAGGGTAGCTCTCTCCAGGTGCCCTATGCTCTTGCAGCCCTCCAGGGCCTACCATCACCACCACCAAGGGACCAAGCAGTGCTGAGGACTGGCTCTGGCCTCTTCTTCTGCCTTCACAGAGCCTGTGTGGGCCCTGAAGCTCTGCACTGGGGAGGCTGTGCAGTGCCCTTTGACCCTGAAACCCAAAGATGAGTTTGATTAGCAGCCTGAGTTTGGATATCGGTGCTGCCTTAGAGACGGTCCCTGTGGTATAGCAGCAGGGCTGCAGACCCCTGCCCACCAGTGTGTGAGGCTCTGCCAGCTGACCCTTCAACCCAGAAACCTTCGCTTCCACATCAGCCCTTCTGATTCAGCCCTTCTGGGATGTGCAGGGATGCCCCTCCCCCAGCCGTGAGCTTCCCCCTTTCCCCACAGGAGCAAAACCCAGGCCTGAAGCCCTGAGACAGTGTTTGGGCCCAAGCCACCCCACATCTGCTGCTGGAGAGACATGTGCTTTTCTCCTCCTGATGCCCAGGGATCTTGTTGGGCTCCTCTGGCCCCGGAAACACATGCTGGTCAGAGGTGGGCACAGCATGTACTCCAGAGTAGAGCTGGCCCCAGTCCCTGGCTGTGAGTGACAGGAGCCTGCTCCTGAGACAAAATCAGGGACAGAGAGCATTGGGGTCAGGAGCTTTGACAGAAAGTGCAGGACCCTGGGCCACACCACCCTTGGCCCCAGGGTGTGTGTCACCCTCACCCTTGACTTGAGGTCCTCTTGCCTCAGCCTGTGTGAGGGTTTCGTCTCTCCCTACCCTTGCTGAAGCAGCTTTCCTTTGAGCCATAGGTGTCTGGTGGCCTGACATGCACCGCCTGGCCGACCGCATCCACTTGGAGGAGCTGACCCACATTGGCATCCTGAGTGGCAGCCTGGATGCCATGGTCCAGGCCCACATGGGAGCCGTGTTCATGCCTCATGGGCTCGGCCACTTCCTGGGCCTTGATGTGCACGACGTGGGGGGCTACCCTCAGGTCAGTGTGGAGACGTTGCTGGGCCTGGTGTCCCTGAGGCAGAGTGGGGCTCCGGGGTAGTGGGGGATGTAGCAGGACAGAAGGGATGGGGTTCTCTGGGATGCACAGGGGAAGGGGAGGAAGCGGGGTCCTGGCTTGCTCTCTGCTAGGGCCCTGGTCAGGGTGGGGGTGGATGCCTGAGCTTCCCTGCAGCGAGTGCTGGGTGTGGCCCCTGCCCAGAAGGTGTAGTGGGGCCCTTCCAGGGCATGGGTCTGCAGAGTGTGAGGCTGAAGCTGTCTTAGTGACAGCCACACTGCACCCTTCATGTCTTCCTGCGTGTGGCTTCATCCAGATCCACCTCGTTCCTCAGGAGCCGGGCAGCAGACACCTTTGCTGCTGTGCCCTGGCTTGTGCGCTCTCTGCCTCCCAGTCCACTGTCCAGCATACCTGTGGCCCTGCAGCCTGCTTTTGTCCTCAGACACTCAGGACCTCTGGCAGGAGAGGAGGGCGCCTCCAGACAAGCCTTCCACTCCCCCTCTTAGGACCACCCACTGGGTTGCTTGAGGGCTCACACAGGAGGCCCCTGCTGGGCAGGTGCTGCAGCCCCTCCTGGCCCCTGCAGCAGTGGGCCTGGAGCCCACCGTGCAGGGGGCTGATGATGCAACCGTGCACACCCTGGGGCCCACCAGCCAGTTAGCCAAGACTAGGCTTGGCCTCTTGGCTGCAGGGTATTTTGAAAGCACTAAGTGATGGGGGGGGAATGTTGCTCAAGAGAAGCATTATTATTCAATTATTTTTTCCTCAAGTGTAAACAGTTAAATTTGCCGAAACAAAATCAGTTTTAATTTCCTAATTTCTGTCCATCCCATTGTGTGCAGAGAGCCAAGAGCAGGGCCTTCCAGACATTGTTAGCTGAGGTTCATTATTCATTAGTCGCCAAAGCACTTTTTTTTTTCCACCAAAGAAAATTGGCAGCAAACTGTTTTCATCTTTTCCAGTAAGCAGCCCTTTGTGCTCACAGAGCCTATTCTTCTGACAGATAAATACTGTGGAAAAAAATACGGCTTTTCCTATAAGTCATTTGTTTTATTTCAGGCCTACAGACACATCTGGGTCTCCTCTGTCAGAACCCAGTAAAAGTGGAGGCCTCAGAGAACCCTCTGCCCAGGCTGAGGTGGGCATGGGTATGGTGTGGGCATCCTCACCAAGACTGGCATACCTGGGGTGGGGCGCTTCTGCTCCCCCCTTCACAGGCCCAACCCTTCATCAGCCCGCGCTGGCGGTTGGGCGGGCCTCCAGACTCGCCTGCCCCGTGCTGTTCGTGCTGGGCCTCCCCAGCAGCACTCAGAGCTAATGCTATGCTCTGCGTCCTCCATAGCCCTGGGATCCTTTCTGTTCTCCCCCAGCCCCAGCTGGAAGGGAAGGTCCCACACATTTCTGGGTAGAGGGAAGCAAGTCTCCATGCTCTGCAAACCTGCCTCACCTGCACACCTGCAAAGCAGCTTGGTGTGGATCCACAGGCAGGAAAGGGAGACCGGGAAGAAAGATGTGACCTTGTCAGGCCCCTGGCTTTACAGCCATGGGGTGGAGAGAAGAGGACAGGCACTTAGGGTATAGCATGAAGAACGGGAAGGTAGGTACAAGCTTTGGGTGGCAGAGCAAGACATTTCTGGAGCAGAGACCCAAGGCCCTCCGCTCTCACAGGCTGACTTTAGGCGGGAGACAGGCCCTGCTCCTCACCAGTCACCTCACCTGAGCCCAGGCCGTCATTGCAGGTGGGACCTTCAGTTCAGAGGGCTCTGCCTCCCCTATCCCTTTCCCTTCTGCGCAGCCTCCAGCTCTGCAGCCCAGAGCAACTGCTGTGGGGCTGGGACCACACCAGCTAGACATCCATGCCCAGAGCATAACCCACCAGGGGACATAGTACCCTGGTTCCCTTCACTGCCTCCATCCTGGCCCACGCACACCAGCTCAGGGTGGCTCTCCCTACCCTTGTGGAATCACAGACACAGTCTTCCCTGCTGTGCCCAGACTTGGAGGCCGAGCCAGCCTGTTTCTGGTTACCTTATGTGAACCACTAATTGAAGTCTGATGTTCCTGGCCCCCAAGCAGTCAGAAATGACAGCTGGGCTTCTTAGGGGGAGCTGCAAGCAGGGCAGGGCAAACTCAGATCCTGTCCAGAAAGCTTGCTCGCTGCCCACTCATTCAGAGGCCCTGGCCATGAGCCAGATGGGACCTGAAGAAAGCAAGGACACTCCTGCAAGTGTCTTGGGTACCACCTGCCCTCAGCCCAGGCTGAGGTCCTGTTAGCTGTGCCTGTGAGGCCCAGGCTGGGTGTGCACCGGGGGAGGAGGGAAAGCAGCTGTCACTATGTTGATTCCTCAAGGACCAGGGACCGTTTTCCAGGGCCCAGCTGTAGGGTACAGAGCTCCTCTGGGAACCACACCACCAGGCCATGTACACATAGGTACTTACAGGCTGGTGCTAGCAGGCCCATCTTGATGACAGCACCTGTCCCTCTTCCCAGGTGATTACGTGTCACATGGAGAATCTGGGGAAGGGATTCGGGGAGGCAGAACCAGCACTTCTGGAGCCAGTTCCCATGTGAGCCTCCTGGAAGGAAAAATGCTGTCCCCAAAAGCCTTATGACTTAAGAGGATTTTTTTGTTTTGTTTTGTTTTAGTTTGATTTGTTGTTGTTGTTCTTTCCTTGGTTTGGCTTCTGCCATTCCCTGGGCCTGGGTAACAACAGCTGGACACCCAGCCAGTACCATGGGCCCATCAGGGCAGCTTGCTCTGGCTTTGTGCCCATTGGAGCACCCTGAAGGCAGTTCTGAGGGTACCAGAGGCGGGGAACATTCACAGCCCAGGGGTCTTATCAGAAGTGCCTGTGGCCCAGCACGGTGGGGCTTCTGGCTGGAGACTCCATCGTCAAGAGCCCACAAGGCCGGAGCCAACCCTCGGGTCTGGCTGTCCTCCGCTGAGGCAGCGAGTGGCCCCGTGGCTGTCACTTGGGGCCTCCACCTTTCCTCTCCCCACAGGGTGTGGAGCGCATTGATGAGCCGGGTCTGCGGAGCCTGCGCACCGCCAGGCAGCTGGAGCCAGGCATGGTGCTCACCGTGGAGCCGGGCATCTACTTCATCGACCACCTTCTGGACGAGGCCCTGGCTAACCAGGCCCAAGCCTGCTTCTTTAACCTCGAGGTTCTGCAGCGCTTTCGCAGTTTTGGTGGGGTGAGTGTCCATGGGCCCCACATTCCTGCTCCCAGAACATCTACCACCCCACTGCTCCTGCTCATCACCTTTGTCTCAGGACAGAGGACCAGGTAGAGGAGGGACAAGCTTGACTTCCTCGCTGAGAATGGCCTCCCCCTTCATGTGGTCGTCAGCCAGGTGCCTCACCCCTCAGTAGGAAGAGACAGATTCTCCGAAATCACTGCCCACCTGAGCAGGACCGGGTGAGCAGGTGACACAACCAAATGGCCATGAGAGGAGCCTTCCTCTAGGCCAATGATGAAAACCCTTTCAGAGCTTTCAGTGACAGCACGCTGCAGCCCGCATGCCATAGGTTTGCCACCTCTGCTGCAGGCAGTGAGCCACAGAAGCTTTGAGACCAAGCTCTTCTGTCATTGTGGGTCAGCAGTCATTTCCTCAGAAAGCTTTACCCAAGCAGCAGGAGTCAGGCTGGAGCAGGATGGACCCATCGATGTGGCACGGGAGGGCAGTTCAGTCGAGCTGAGAGGGTTTCTGTCCATCTGACCCAGGTCCGTATTGAGGAGGACGTCGTGGTGACGGACAGTGGCATGGAGCTGCTGACCTGCGTGCCCCGCACCGTGGAGGAAATTGAAGCGTGCATGGCAGGAAGTGACAAGGCCTTTACGCCCTTCTCTGGCCCAAAGTAGAGCCCACCAGGATGCCCAGCCAGACCAGGGCCTGGTCTTGCACCTTCTCTATCATTCAGCCTGTTGATTGGCCCTCCAGTGGTGAGACAGGATACTCAGAAACCAGATCTTGGCATCAATATTTGATCATACCAAATAGTGCCATTTCTTAGACATAAAAAATGCTTTTTCTATTAACATTCTTCAAGATCACACCCTTAATCGTTTCTGTATACTGTGCTTAAATGACAGAGACTTTAAAATTCTGATTGAAGATAATCCTTTTCTTCAGTAGCACAAATGTACCTTGCTGCCATTTATATTCCTGTTCTTAGGAAAGATGCTTTTCCAGTGTTTTCTCCCAAAAATCAATATGCAGAATGGAATTTGCAATAAAAGCTTTCCTTATGTGGTCCTTCATGCACAGCTCCTGCTTCATCCCTTTGTGAGGGCTCAGAACCCACCAGCCCTGAGAAGATGGCCCAGCTAGTGCCTCAGGAAAAATGTATGGTGGCACGGGCCCTGCACCCTCTGCCTCAGCCTGTTCAGATCTGGTGGGATGAGGGCAGGGTGCTCCCCCAGGAGCCTGTGTTGAGCCCTGGGGACTCTGCTGGGCTTCAGTGTCACCCTGCTGTCTACTGCAAGGGTTCCCAAGTCTCACAGACATCGGAACCGCTGGGTCACTTGCTAAAAGGATCCCAGAACTCAGGCTCAGATCTTCCAAATCAGAATCTCCGGAGATGATGCCCAGAGAACTGTGTAAACAAGAGCCCCTGGGAGCTGGGCGTGGTGGCACACACCTGTAATCCCAGCACTCGGGAGGCTGAGGCAGGAGGAACTGCAAGGGTTCCCAAGTCTCACAGACATCGGAACCGCTGGGTCACTTGCTAAAAGGATCCCAGAACTCAGGCTCAGATCTTCCAAATCAGAATCTCCGGAGATGATGCCCAGAGAACTGTGTAAACAAGAGCCCCTGGGAGCTGGGCGTGGTGGCACACACCTGTAATCCCAGCACTCGGGAGGCTGAGGCAGGAGGATTGCTCTGTGTTCGAGACCAGCCTGGGCTACATAGTGAGTTCCTGGTCATTCTCACTACATAGTGAGACCCTGTCTCAAAAAACCAAAAAAAAAAAGAGCCCCTAGATGGTACAGATAGATGCACAGGTTTGCAAACAACTCTCAGGTGATACGATGGGAAAGCTCGTTGCCAAGACTCACCCATCAGAATGGCACTGCCAGAGATTTAACTGGAGTACAGTTTTTTTTTGGTACTGGAGATCAAACTTGGGACCTTACCCTTGTGAGGCAGGCGGCAGCACTACTGAGCTAAATCCCTGGTCCAAGATCCTTTTTTAAACATGGTTATTACCTCAAGGTTAGGTTTCTGCAGGGAACAGGATTATACCCCGCAGTGGAAGCCACCGAAAGAATTTCACTGTGAGGTAGTAAGCCATCCAGGGCCCAGCTGTGCCTGGCCCCTGCCCGTGGTGGGATTCCTGGCCTTCCTCTGCTTGTCCATTTGTCCCACAGCCCAATGGGACTGACCCTCCCCACAGCCGGCTTATAGAACTCTGCACACGAATTCTTCAGTGCATTCTTCCAGGTACTTCTGAGCCAAGAAGGGCGGGTGAGAAAAGGGTGTCATAGCAGAAAACTAGCCCAAGCTAGTAGCATTTGTGAGGCGTCATCCAGGGGTTCAGTACTAATTGTTTCTTTCTGTGATAGGAACACAAAAGTGTTTATGATGTGGCCACAAAAAGATAAAAGCCAGGGCTGGAGGTATAGCTCAATGGTAGAGCACAGGGTTAGCATGAACAAGACTCTGGGATTGATCCCACCAAAAGAAACAGCCCATCTCCATGCCAAAGCATCATTTATCTCACACCGATTCTTTAGGGTTTCTGCTGTTGGCACAGATGTATTCCCTCAGGTACCCTCTGGTGACACTGAGCAGTTTTAGAAATGATTGGGTCTTTCTGTGCATCAGCTGAGTTGTAGGTTTGCCAAGCATTTCTTCACCTGCTACCCCTGACAAAACCTGTTCAGGTGTACAGGACTTCAGTTTCCCCCACCTCCAGGTGAAATCAGTTCAGCTCAGGCTGAAACTCTAAATGGATGGTTTTGTTGAGAAATGTACATGGATGAATCACTTTTATTTTCCTCCCAACCCTACAGACTTTCCATACCAAAACTGCCCTTTCCACATACGTGTTTTCTATGGTCATCAAGCAAGTGGATGAAAAACAAGTAGAAACAAGCAGAAACCAGAGTAACTAAACGCCCTGTCCAGGATGGACACTGGGGACACAGAGTAACAGTCTGGCTCAATAAGGCATTCTGTGATGGCATAGAACCCAGGTGGCCAGCATCAGCCACCCTTGCAACCCCGTGTTCCTTAACTGTATCCAACTGTCTCCAGCCTCTGCAGTTTGTATAGCTTCAGAAACGCACTAGGAACCCTTCCAGAAGGCTGTAACAGTGCCAAAGCCTTCCCCAAACTCCAAGCGCCTTCCATATTCGTTCAGCAGATGAGAATCCATTGTGCCAGTGCAGTATAAACATGAAGTCTCTGCACTCAGAGCTTGTAGTCTTCTAAGAGACTTATAACTATGTTGTCTCGATGAAAAGTGCCATGAAGAAAGTAACAGGGTTTGAAGTGAAAAGCAAAAGGAGATGCTGCATTCTGAACCTAAAGAACTATAAATGCTAAGAGGGAGAATGGAGGGAAAATAGTTTGGCAAGATGAAATGGCGCCACTTCACCAGACTGGGTCTTGTCTTGGTCACCCTGGGATGCAGTGGAATAGTTCTGGAGAACATGTGGCAACTGCTGTCCAGGAAGACCAGTGAGGAGCCCATCACCAAGTCCTCGCAAGAGAGGATGGCACTGCACAAAGCAGGGTGAGGGGAGGTGAAGCAGACAGGTTCCAAGCCATTAGGAGGCAGAACTGAAAGGGGATGATGTGGAAAGGCTCTAACAGCTACTTCAAAGGGAGTGGCTGGTGTTGGGCTACCGGAAAGAGTATCGGGACGGTGATGATGAGCGGACCTTTTAGAGCTTCAGTGTTAACAGCCCACTGTGGCACTGTGCCCTAGGTTTGCCACCACTGAAAGGAGCGGTTCTCTTTTAAATCTATGTAGAATGGTTTTGTACTCTTCAGATGCCTATAAGCAGTGAAAGTTGTTCTCAAAGTGCTTTTATTAAAAAAGACCTGGCACCTCCACAGAGAATAAAATTTCCCAAGTCACTGGATCCCAAATTACAACTAATTCACAGAAATGAAACAAGACATATTATCCATAGAAATTATTGTGCAATTTTCATGAGGATGTAGCAAGTAGAAATTTATCTCCCAACGCATGAAAAGAACTGAAGAATCACTGAAGTTATCTTAATGGCATCTTTCCTTAAAACAATTCAGATCGACTTCTTGGACTCAAAATATTTACATTAGCCAATTCATTTCTACAAACCCACCCCTGGGATACAACATGTAACTGAAGACAGCATACATACTACAAATTGTACTCTTAAGGGAAAGGCCTCACTTTGACCATCTACCTCAAGATTTAAGGATTTGGAAACCACGTGTTCAGACATGAGATGATTAAGCTGACCTCATGTGTCACTTTCCCTATTCTAGTATACATTTTAAACCACGTACTTAAAATATAACTAAAAATGCATTCACATTTAGAGAAAACTACTTCCCTATCCTCTAAGGGAAATGTAGACTTGAACAAAAGCATCACCCACCCCAGGCAACAGGAGACAGCCAAGCTTACATGCTGTTCAGAGCTGCTTACATGTACATTTTGGTATCTAATGTAAAGAAACCCACAATGAAATAGTCATTGTTCCAAAAAGTTTTTATTTTAGGATTTATTGAAAGAAATAAAATTATATTAAAAAAATAGAGTAATCTCACAAACTGAAAGCCAGGAACAAAAAAAGAACAAGTTAGTACTTTTTCCTGAGAGGCAGATCTAATTAGCTGTAGAACAGACTTTCTCTTTCCTACCTTTTGTCAAACAAAAATTATTTTTCCTATTTCTAAGGCATCAAAAAGCACTGAGTACTAAATGGGTTGTTCAGGTACAAAGTTTCAGCCCTCTAATGGGGATTAAGAAACACCAAAAGCTGCTACAGTTTCCTTTTAATATCAAATTGTACATACTTCTACTTTTTACATAAATTTGAGAATTTTACTCATGACCTGAATTTTTTAAATTGTGTCTCATTTTATAGTCCTACTAATTCTCAGTGAGAATGTCCAACGCATCTGAACCGGCATCCCAACAACTGAAAGGGGCCTTCCTGGAAGAGCTGCTCCCCTCACCATCTGCAGCCTCAGCCAGTCAAAAGGCACCATCCCGGATGCAGCTAGCAACTTACAGTGCAGCATAATCCCTAACCTCTGGCCCTGATGCAAAGCAGATCAAATCCGAATGGTTCATAAATCACAAACTCACAAGTTACAAGAGTCACTTTACAATTGCCAAAGTTCTAAACTTACTCCCGACACTCAATTTCTCTCAATTTCTGTACTCTCAATTTTGGTAGCTAAATCTACCGAACTAATAACTTCCATTCTTAAACCACTTGAGTAAAATAGTCAAGACAATGATTAACATCTTTGTTCTATGCATGTGCTCAATTCTGATTTGCATAGGTAAGAGTAAAGCATGAATCAGTTTTTTTCAAAACTCCCAATCTTATGTTCTGACTTGAAACACTGAGTACACACTCTTGATGATTTCCCTACAGCTTCTCTGTTCGTATCATTGGTAACCACAAATCCCATGTGGACATCCATATCTGATTTTTTAAAACAAGGGATCTAAAATTTAACACCTATTATAGATATTTAAAGATTCAAGTGGCCTAACGACATCTCCAAGTAATTATACAATATCAATTAGCTGTTGGATTTAGTAGGATTCTGTTTTGAACATCTATTAACCCCTATGAGCAGATCGATATTCCAAAGTAAACTGCTGTTGGACCCTAACTCAAAAAAAAAAAAAACACCTACCATTTCTTGGTTGTACTGGGAATTAATAGCCCTCTGAGGCAGTAGTTCATGGAACAACACCTGGCTCCAATCCCACACTGACAAGGACCTTGTAGCCCTAAAAATCTTTGCCGAGTCGCAGGACACTACGGCATCTTCTGCCCAGGAGAACAGCACAGTCAGCACACTTCCACCAAACCCAGGGTGCAACATGAGTTACAATCTGGTTACATTACCCCAAGTCCTAGTAGGAAACAGCAGTGTGGCCAGAATTGACCACATTCAAATAAAAAGTAATCAGGTCTGACTGTCTAATCACTATCCCAGGCACAAAACAATATACAGAAGCCAACAGACTTGAGCTACAATCATGTTGTAAGTTAAGGTTAACAATCTAAAATACCAACACTGATATAATGCAGACTCTACAGGTGCCCTACATTAGTGATTGCCATTTTTTTGTCTCCACAAAAATGTAAATATCCTGAGTTTTACCAGCATTTTCTTTCTAAAATAATTTATGGAACATAAAAGCACACAATGAATGAACAGAAGCAGTGGTACATAAAGTCTGGAAGAACAGCCCACTAAAAGAATTGTCACCAAAAAAAAAAAAAAAAAAATCCCAAAACATAAACAGATGTATTTAAGCAAAATAAATTAAAGGTTAAAACCTTACACTTTCAAGTTTTCTTAACCTCTTGTTTTAGGAGATGGTATGGAGTTGATACATTTTTCTAGTATTTATTTAGTTAAGATTAAATAATACCAAAATGTTACTTCACAATTTTTTTCATAATAAATTTAGTCACGGCCCTATAGCAGTTATTTTGAACACAGAAGAAACCACCAGCTGAATTAATATTTCAAATCCTTATCAGTAGCTTATGTTATCAAACTGTTAAGACATTTTATTTACTAACTTGACTGTCAAAATGATACCCCAAAACAAGCCAACTCAGTTTACTAGCATCTGCAGAAACTACAACTCCGGTACATAAATGAGGTTTTGTTTTTAAGGATATAAAATACCAATCCAATAACCCAAAGGTATCCCTAAATCATAATCCTAATATGCTCTACTTTTTGTTATTTCTATAAGCTATTTAACTGCATGTTGCTTTAAGATATGATGGAGTTCCTTTACCTAATCAAAAATTGCTCCAGATTACAAAATGATCGGTTTTTACAGCCCTAGAATTTAGAATAAAATCACAAATGATTAATATAGATGGAATTCAACTTTTCCAAATCCAATTAATTTTATCTATTATAACTGAGACCCTTCTGTATGACCTTCCTATTTCCCACTCCTTTTGTCTACTTAAAAAAGAAGTATTTCTGGGGAAGTCAGGATGTTTTTTATTTTACCATATTCTTTTAAAAATTGTTTTTCAATTCCCACAAAAATGCACCTCATTTAAAGCCATACGTTTAAATGGCACGGCTAATTGACTCTTCAGTGCTGATCCTAGAAAATAACCTCCAATGGATCTTTGAATAATGAAAAAGACAACATCCAGCCATGAACATTTGAGCGGTGTAGTTGGTCGCACCTTTAAAGTTCAAGCCATAGCTGTGAAGTCTGGGAAGGGTGAAGTCTACTGTCCTGCAGTATCAGAATTTGCTGTCGTATTTTCAGTGCTAATGGGCTGCACGTTGTCTGCAAGATTGTGTGCGTGCTCAAGAAACAAATCTTTCAGTACACTTAATTCTTTTGTCAGCAATTTAATTTTTGCTTCCAAGCGTTCATTCTCTTCTTTGAGCTGATTCACTCTCTGCAGTGTGTCTTGTGCTTTCTGCTTGCTTTTCAATCGGCTCTTTTTCACAGCCATGTTGTTCCTCTCTCTGCGCTGACGATACTCGTCACTATTTCGATCCATGGGTGAACTCTTTTTGCTCTGCTTGCTTGGAGGCACGGCTTTGCCTCCTCCCCCGGGGCCAGCAGGCACCAGCTGAGGAACCTGCTGCAGGCCGCTGGCATGTGCCTGAGTATGAATAACACTTATTCCGTTCACTCCTGGAGTACTGTTCTGCTGCGCTATCTTGCTCATTTGGGCACTCTCCCTTGCCAACACAGGTCAGGCAGAAATGAGAGCAAGGTGATCAGTCGCTTGCAAGATAAACTGCCAAAAAATCTTCACATGTACCTATTTTAAATAAATTAACAAATTGCATTAAAATACTTGCAATGACAAACAAATAAGATTAAATTTGTACGCACCTAACAGCAGGCCACCATTAATTGATCTCATGCCGAGAAAAGTCTATAGAACCTGCCAACTAACTGTCCCAAAGTTTCAGAAGTCTAAAGCATTTAATTTAGAAAGGGAAGTTAGTACAGAAGACCATAAGGCTGAGCCCAGCCCACCTGAATCCCCGAGGGTACTGCCCATCTGTGAGTCTTATTCACAAAGGGAGGAAAAACAAAAGAATACCACTAATTAGGGTAGCACACAGAAACTAATGGCACTTGATAATCTGCCAGGGAGAAACTTGAGCTGTTTGGGTTAACTTTGAAAAGCTGAGTTCAATTGTGGTACAAAAGGCACCTGCAAGGAAAGGGGGACGAAAGTTTAAGTATTTAGTTCAAGTGAAATTAGAAAGTTGAAGTGGAGTGCCCAGTCTGCAATATTCATGAGGAGTATTATGCTACGATCTCAGCATGTTCCTTATTCGAACATGCAGAGTGACTCATCAAGGGTTTGACTTTGTTCCCACAGCTATCTTTATGGAATATTTTAAAAGGGGTTTTTTGCTTGTTCTTTTTTAACAATGTCAAGTGACAGCTTACTGCATTTACCAAGTTGGTTTCTTGGATTTAAGAACTCTGAGACATCCAGCGTGTGCTACCACTTTCAATGCTTCTCATGCGTTTTCTTCCTGACATAACTAATAAAACATCGAAATACTCTCAACCTGGACCCACAAGGGAAAAAGAAAAGCCCTACTGATACACCCGAGGAAGTGCAAGTACTGAGACTCGGGCCGGACAGAGGGACCGCAGCTGCAGAGCTGCCACCCACTTGTCTGTCACTAAATGAGCTTGGAAGACACATGCCAGTTCTGAAGCGCTACCGTGGTGCTGCACATAGAAAATGAAGTCACAGCTTCACAAACTAAACTACTCCGATTTGGATGCCTCGAAGCAGTTAAGTCCCTACAGCTGCTTGAATAGGTATCAAAGCACACCTTTCCTATCAGGAGGCCAATACACAATCTAAGCTGAGGGACCTGCGTCCACCAAGAAGGTACAGCATTCCAGACTTCAGAATGCAGTGTATAGGCCATGAACTATCTGTTCTCTTCTCACAAAACTGCTAAGATACAACAGTGGGAAAAACCTGGGGTCAGAATTATGAAACTGTCCCAAGTAAGAACATCCCAGTTATTAAGAAAAGTTCACGTAGTAAACACCGGTAGCTTCACCCAAAACTTTAGCCAGGCATTCCTGTAAATATTATTAGTCTGATTTTGTTTTGTTTTTTAATCTTTGCTTTTAAAACTCCATATATAATTACTTTCAGTTGTTTCCAAAGCCACCCAACCAGCCCTGAGCTAGTAGATTGTCCTCACTCCAGCACTAGGCAAGAGAGCTCCCGTCCAAACTCGAAGCCCATCTTCAGTAACAGGCAATTCACGATTTTCTTTAAAAATTTATTACATGGCCTAATTTGTCTTCTGGTTAAAAAGTGACTATTCAATATTAATTTGAGCCACCCTTCCTGACATCTAGCACTAGTGCTATCTAGAGGTATAAAGGGAATACAGCTGTGTTATCCAAGTGTTGAGAAGTTTAACTCCTCCCTGGGACTGTCTTAATCACAGTCATATTCATCTTAATTCTCTACTTTTAAACTTTTTAATATATTTATATTCATAAATCTTTAAAGCTAATCTCTACAATTCGTGTGGCCCAAGTTCAGAGATCCATACCCCTCCCTTCAGGGCTTCAGGTTCCCTGTGTGCACGTGACTCACAGAATACCATCAACTCCAGTCACTCTTACACATTACAGGCTCCAAACTCAGCGACGACGTTCATGTCTGTTTCTGTACCCAAAGGTACAGGAATAGGGAAGGGCTCATGTACCTTAGCCTGACTCATCTCGCCAAGGCACGACACTAAACAAAGAAGGCAAGGTTTGAAGTTGAGTCCTTTGGCTTGAAAAACAAGAGTATTCACTGAACCTACCAACTTGTAAAACTTCATGAATTTTTTTTTTTGAAAAAAGTTCTTCAACCATAGGCAAGCCAGGAAAGTAGCTCTTAAAGAAAGAAAATTAACCAAGCAAAGCAGATCAAATAGCTAAGTAATTTAGGACAGTTTGTCAACTTTGCTTTTACACTGAACAAGGCACTGTCACTTATACTGTTGTTCCTCCTATAAATATTTACTGAGCAACTACAACAAACCTAAAGGCTAGTTTACTTCAAATTTAAAGCTAAGTGAACATGTGGCTCCTATGCTGACAAATACTATTCCAAAGTTCAGTCTACCGGTGCCTGCTTCCTTGCAAGTGTAGTGTTCAAGTAGGAAGCCATGAGAAAGGGAGAGAATAGCAGTAGTTCGTAAGTAAAGTGGGGTCCCTGGACCAGCATCATCATTTAATGTTACTTCTCAGGTTCCCCAAATCTACATATTAGTTCTGGGCATAGGTATGCATAATTTTCTTTTAGGGTATCCTCCAAGTGATTCTGCTGTTGCTGTAGTATGAGAGCTTCTGCTGTAAATATGTAATGGATCTTAAGAATCTGGACTGTATGAAAAATAGTTTTTCACATTCAAATTTCTTAAGCAATGTTCATTCAAATCAGTAAAACTGAAAACTCAGAATGTTAGAATGAGTAAAAGAAAATCAAAATTTTCTTAAGCTGGGCATGGTGGCTGAGACAAGAGGATCACTGTGAGTTCAAGACCAGCCTGGGCTACATAGTGAGTTCCAAGTCAGTCTCAACTTCATAGTGAGACCCCTGTCTCAAAAACCAAACGAAACAAAAAAATTTTTTTCTTAAGTATCGCTTGGGGAAATAAACCTGTCAAGAATTTTCCTAGCCTTTTTGTCACTTTTTTTTCATATACTAGAATGAGATATTTCTCCCCCAAAATAAACTTTCCCTTAAGTTTCCTTAGTGAGGTCAACTCTTCAAAATATTCAGATGCTTCTCCCTTGCCCCAAATCTTTTCAATCCTTGGGAATCTGACAGTTCTACCACAAACAGAAGATTAACACACCTACCACTCTGCTCCATCCAATGCCACAGAACTTACTTCAGGTGACAGTCTCTCACGGCACTAGTCTCTGGTTCCACAGCAATCTGAAACACTATCCTGAGTGTGCCACACCCTCCTGCTGACAATCTGTCTGTGGCTCCAGACTATAGGATCAAATCAAACTCCTTCCAGCCCGCTTCCTTATGCTTGGCTCTTCAACAATACCAAACCACTATGAGTCTCCTAAACGGTCTCTGCTTTCTCTTTGCTTTGTGCTTCTGTCCATTGTTCCCTCAGTCTCTCTGTCAATTCCAAATCCCTGTAGACTAGGTCAGAAGCAAGGCTGTTCATCTTCACATGTCCAGCACCTAGTGTGGAGTCCATGAAGGAAGGGTCATCCCTGCAGGGAGACTGTAAATGGTTCACAGGGGTATGAAAAGAATATATGTTTGTTTTAATGGTATCTTTTAAACCTAACTATGGTGTGATGTACATACACTGTTTGTAAATATACATACAGAAACTATCAGAAGCTCATGTTCAGTTTTCTTCACCAGACCTCTCAGGTATAAACTTGGAATTGTGGCTATGCCTAGTTAGCATTACTGGGAGCAGGTGAGGCAATTTAGACCCTAAGACTAAATTCAGCCTTACAAGGCCCCATGTGTGTCGCTCAGTGGCTCACCACGTGCTGTATAATTCCCCAGAGATGAAATCACTTCTCTAAGATCACAAAGCCATGCTGACAATATAACGTACTCGAGAATTTAAAGGATATTTTGAAAAAAATGAAGCCCCCCCACCCCCACTTTTAGGCAAGTATTTAAAAGAAAAAAAAAATGAACCAGCCAATTATGCTCTCCAGAAGCAGGAAACAAGAGACTGATATATTCTTCAGCTCACTGGCATCCTGTAATTATTTAACCTTGTTTACAGTCTCTGCAGAAACAGAGAACTAACCTGGAGAACAGCTTATCCCAAATAGCTTATCCAAGTGATAATACCTAACTAGATGTTAAATGCGAATGTACAGGCCTGGGGTGGCAGCTCGGTGGTAAAGCGCCCCCCTAGGACGCAGGATACCCAGGGTTCCATCCCCAGGACCACCAAAAAAAAAAAAAACCTTTTCCGATGCAGAAGTTCTTAGTAAAACAAGCTCCTCACAGTATTTTCTTTAGGAGTCACATTTTAGAGAGAGGCTTGCATTGAATGATAAGCAAATAAGGATTTTGGTGAATGTAAGCTAAAAGAATTCCTGATTTTCGTGCAACCCACCAACATTAAAGCTTTTCTAAAGTGGCCCATTTTAAGACGCCAGCTTACAGAATAAACTTAAAACAAGCGAAAACCCAAATATTTCAACCTTCTGAAGACCAGAAACATAAAAGTTATTTGGAAAGAGACTATTCTTCCGCTCCTACATGCACTCCTATCCTCTTCCTGCACACCTTAGTTGGCTATTTTCCTGTGCTCCCTCCAACCATGCTAAAGGGAGTTTCACTGCTTACTCGTTCCTTTCTATTCAACTTGTGGTTGCTGCATGTTTTAGACGATGTCCCACAGTGAACTGCAGGAATATACAAGCAAAATATTTTTTTTCTGTAAAAAGGTTATGTACTTAAGGTGGTCCAGGCCTATAATCCCAGCACTACAGGAGGCTGAGTCAGGGAGATCGCAAGATGGAGCCCAGCCTGGGCAACTTAGCGACAAGGGAGACCCTGACTCAAAATTAAAAAAAAAAAAATGAGCTGGACATGTAACTCCGTGCATAGGTCCTGAGTACAACCCCTCTACCACCAAATTAGTTACGCGTTTACACAAATCTCTTTCCCTATCTATTAGCTTCCGAACAGTATCCTGGACCACCCCTCACAAAGTTTTCACTTACGTTTCCTTAGGGTCAACTCTTCAAAATATTCAGATAATTCAGGGCATTTCAGGGCAACAGGAAACGTCCTATGTGGCAGTAAACTAAGATATGGTCCGCCTTCTATTCCGGGAACACCTTT